TGAAAATTCAGATGAAAACGACACACCCCTATCATCGTACAATCATTTGGGTATAAAAGAAGAATACGACGAAAATTTATCATTCATAAATAACAACGATGCAACGGAATTCGACAACGAGGACGGAATTAATTTTTCCGTTTCCGAACCTTTGCTCGATATATTTACAGCGGAAGAAGCTCTCAGAATGGAATCATCTATATTCATTGACGAAGGTTAAAAGGTTAAAAGGTTAATAATTTTTTTTGTTTTTTTGCACGATGCCGCGCGTCGATAAATAAAAAGAAATTTAAATATTTGTTTTTTTTTTTTTTTTCTGGCTGTTTTGTTATAAATTAATTTTATTATACCAGTGCACGTTTCAATATAAAAGTTTTAATTTTATTACCATGTAAAAACTTTTATATAAAATAAGGATACAGAAGATCATTTAATATATCATTATTATTATTATTATTAATTTCGTTACGAGATGATTAATAAATATATATTTATATGAATGTTAAAATGTAAAATGTAAAAAAAAAAATTAATTGCCTTATTTAAACGAATTGTGAATAATTGCGGGTTGTTAATAAATAAATAAATTATTATTATTATTATTATTATAAATAAATTAATTACCAAAATTTTAAGGCTGTTTATTATATAATATTAATGATAATAATAAGTATATAAAATATTTATGGAAAAAAATAAAATAAAATAAAATAATTGAAGACTCTGTTTTTTTATATTATTTGTACAGAAAGTTATTATTATTATTATTATTATTATTATTACGTATGGTTTTTTCAATTATAAAAAAAGAAAAAATATATATATATGTATTTAAATATGTGGCAATTAAATAAATAAATAAATAAATATATGTGTATTGTTAATTAAATAAAAAAAATGTTTGAGAAATTTTTTTTTTATTAAGTTAAAGTTATTAATTAAAAAAAAACATTTTATTCATTTATTATTATTATTAATAATAATAAATATTGTTAAGGTTGTGTATAAAATATATGAATTGTATTATTATTATTATTATTATTAAAAATTGTAAACATATATTTATTTATTTTTTATTTTTCAAAAAAAAAAAAAAAAAACGACGGTGATAAAAGGATTAGGATGAGGAGGAGGAGGAAGAGAGGGGAAAAAATGGGGGGGAGCGGAAGGGGCGGGGGGGGTATACGAACGGAAAATAAAAATAAATAAAAAATATAATTTTTATGTGAGAATATATATATATATATATGTGTATATATTTTATTTATTGCTATTCTGAGCATCATTATTTTTTAAAAGCAACCAATTATGTGCCTCTAATGTTTAAATAAATAAAAATTATTATTAATATTATTATTATTTTTTAATTAATTAATTAATTAAATAATAAATATCAAAATACATTTTTTTAATATTTTTTTCATTATAATTATTATTATTATTATTATTAATGTATTATTGTACCTACTACAAAAAAAAAAAAAAAATTGCAAAAAATTTATATACCGACTCGATAATTTTTTTAAATAGTAGGTAAATAGTAGCGCTTATCATTCTAAATTCTTTTTTTTTTATCATTTAAAAATTAATTCGAAATTTTAAAAAAATTATTATTATTATTATTATTATTAATAATTTAAAAAAAAAAAATTTTCCCATAATAAAATTCACCTACTATTTTTTATCATTGACGAAAATTAAAAAATTATTATTATCGTCGTGTTTTTCGTTTGTTTTTTTTTTTTTTTTTTTTTTTTTAATTTTCGTCCGGGTATATAAAAAAATGCCCCTACGAAATATAATAATAATAATAATAATAATAATAACAATAATAATAATAATAATACGAACGTAATTAATTTTTTTTTTTTTATCTAGCTTGTACTAAAATTTTTTTTTTATAAATTAATTTCTACCGTTAAAAAAAAAAAAAAAAAATCATACGACTCGTCGTATGTTGCATATATATAAAAAAATTCATTCCAACTACGTCTAAAAAAAATTTTTAAAAAATCGAAAAAAATTTTAATTTATAAATCTATTAAGAATTATTATTATTATTATTATCATTATTATTATTATTTCATACCTTTGTACAATCGTAAAAAATTATTATTCAAAAAAAAAAAAAAACACAAAAAAAGGGGAAAACATTTTTTTTTTTTTTTTTCGTTTGCTGCTCGTTACATCGATCAGCTGTTTTTTATTTTTATTTTTTATTCAATTATTTATTTATTTATTCTTATTATTATTATTATTATTATTATTATTATTATCATATTGCTTTTTATTTATTTATTAAATTTATTTATTAAAAACGTATTAAAATACATATATATAAAAAAAAATATTTAATATTTATAATAATAATAATAATAATAATAGTATTAATACCTGCGTTGATTTGCGTGACGTTAAAACTTTTTCTTTTTTTTTTCTTTCCCCCTTCTCCCCACCACCCCCCGAGCGTATAAAATAATAAACTAGGTATCAATGTAATTTTTTTTCCCTTCACGTTTAAAAAACCAAATAATAATAATAATGATATAATAATTAAAATAACGGTGATTAATAAAATGATAATTGCGTGTTATCGATTAAACCGCGTGACGTGAGCAAATTGATATTTTTATTTCGTTTTGAACCGACCGGAAATAGTTTTAATAAAAGAAAAAAAAAAAAATTTCGCGTATCGAAAAACCGGATGTTACGCACTCGTACACGCACACGCACACAAAATGGCAGTGCCGTTTATTTATTTTACTATTATTATTTGGAGTCATTTATTACGATTTTTATTATCTAAAAAAAAATAAAAACAGTGACCACAATCAATTAATGTAAAAAAAAAAAAAATTCATTTGTTTAATTATTATTATTATTATTATTATTATTATTATTACCATCACGAGAAAATTTAAAAAATTAAAAAAAATTAATAATAATAATAATAATAATAAATAAAATAATTAGTCGTTTTGCGGTTTTTTTTTGCGAGCGAATCTCCGCATTTCGAATAATTAATTATTTAATTAATAATACGGATAAAATAAATAAATAAATAAATAAATGGATTCGTATCGTTAATTGGCACGAAACGTTATAAATAATAATAATAATAATAATGATAATGATGATAATAATAATAATAATAATAAATCATTGCACTAATTACATAACATTCGTGAGAAATTATTTTGACACACTCGGAATTAATAATAATAAATTTTACTAAAACTATTGTTTTTTTATTCTAATAAATATCTAATAAAAAAAAAAATTATCGATTACAATTTATCTCTTATTAATAATAATAATAATAATAATAATAATGATAATAATAATGATAATAATAATAAATAAGTAAAATATTAAAACATTCATCAGTCTTCTATGCATTCAAACTCATTTTTATTCGTTAATTATGCATTACTATTAATTAATAAGCTTTTTTGTTTTTTTTTTTAAATAGGAATTATATACGCGTGTTTTTGGTGTATGTGTGTGTGTGGGTGTGTTTATTAAAATTTCAAGCAAATAATTATTTATTAATTATTTATTAATAATAAAATTATTACTTTAACTTACGGTAATTTTTTTGTAATTAATAACGTTGGAAATTTATATAAAAGTTTTTCATAAGCAATTATCAATTTGAAAACATTTTTTTTTTTTTTTTTTTGATTCTAAAACGAAACGGAAGCCTTACATTACTCGCGTATATTATTATTATTATCAAAATTTAATAAATTTAATCAATTTTATTACTTTCGAATCTTTAATAAAAAAAAAAATAAATAAATAAATAAATTACTTCGTTGTTACGAAAAAAAATAAAAAATTTCATATTATTCGTACAAAAAATATTATTATTATTATTATTATTATTATTATTATTATTATTATTATTATTTTATAAAATAAATTATTATTATCGTAAAAAAAATTTCAATCAATCAATAATAATAATAATAATATGTTTTATCACGTCAAAATAAATTTTTTTTTTTTTTTACAAAAAATAACTTTTTTATTATTATTATTTATTTATTTATTTTCTTCTTCTTCTTTTTATTATTATTATTATTGTTTAATTAGTCTATGACGTCAATACTTAGGTTATTAATTAATTTATTTATTTTTACAAAATTATTGCAAAATTTTTGTTAATACAAAACGATATGAATTTTAAAATTCGAAAACAAAAAAAATTTTTTTTTTTTGTTAAATTTATTATTAATGAAAAAAAAACCTTCGCATTCATTATTATTATTATTATTATCATTATTATTATTTAAA